CCCACTCTCTCTCTCTCTCTCTCTCTCTCTCTCTCTCTCTCTCTCTCTCTCTCTCTCTCTCTCTCTGTCTGTTACATGTTGCACCTGCACACGAGGGCCATTTTCCAGGCCCTGCGTCCCTCAGGCCGAAAGCCTGAAAACCAGGGCCTACAGGCCCCGTGTCTGTTCAAGCTCGAAAGGCTGAAATACAGGGACCTACAGGCCCTCTGTCGTTTCAGACTAAAAATGGCAATAGCCTTTTTAGCCTGAAATGAAGGGCCATTTGCGGTCGTTCATCAGAACGATCGGCCCTGAAACTCAGGCACCAAACCAGGGTTTCGGGAACAGGCTATTTTTGGCCTGTTCCCACGACAGCCTCAGCAGCAGCTGCAGCGCCAGCCCCTGGCACACTTCGGCATTGGCAAGAGCRGCCTCCTGGACTGCACGCCCTGCAACTGCAGGCAGTCAGGAGGTAGGCCAGGGAAGTACATAGGGGCTTCCYAGGCACTTCACGGGCAGGTAGTGGCAGTGGCAGTTGTAGTCTTCAGGATTCGGCAGTAGCACTTCCAGGAGCGCYGCAGGAGGCAGCGTTAGTAGTASTCTTCAGCGCTGGGYGCTATAGCAGTAAAGTAGCGTTAGAGGAGGKTGGAGAGATGCTTGGCGGAGGCCAGGAGTACTTACCTGAGGCGCCATAGCTCCAGCTTCGTCTTCCAGGTACCTGCAGCAGGGCGCTGATCTCACAGGGTAACTTACCTGTGGTGCCATAGCTCCAGCTCCATCTTCGGGGTACCTGCAGCAAGGCGCCAGCTGCACAGGTTAGTATTGGACTGAGAGAGAGTGAGAGAGAGTTCTTCTTCTTCCTCTTCCAAGTCCCCCACCTCATCTCTACCCTCTCGCTACCTACCTTCTCGGTATCTGTAGACTACGAGAGAGAGATTGTGACGAGACTTGACGACATTGGATTCAGACTCGACGTTGGGTTCAGACGTTCGACGAGGGTTTATTTGGGACTTGTAGCAAAGACTTGGTGTTGACTACATTTCCATCTCCCCTCTTCTTTGCTACTTGGTGTTGACTACATTTCCATCTCCCCTCTTCTTCGTCGTCTGTTCCTCCCCCTCTTCGTCTGAGTATGGTTGGGAGTCTTGGGACCTGGCGCACATTCTGTGCATGGCGTCAGGCCTGTCACACCTTGCAAAGATGATGTTGAACGTTGAATCTGTACTTGGACATTGATTGGTTGAGCATTGGTATTCTAGCATCCGCTGCGCTATCTGTGTGAGGAAGGTCGGTCCTTGTTCTGTTCTACACTCTTACGGTGTCCAACAGTTTGGTGTCCCTCCTCTTCTTACATGCATGCTGTACCATGAAATGCCATGTCAGTCCTAGTCTAGTTAGGACTTAGATCCAAGTCTCTCGCTGTGTTTCAAACTACCGTTTTGCATATATCAGGATGAACATTGCTTGTTGAGTTTCGTTCACACTGCATTGTCCATTTCTGTCCTTTTCATCACTTTGCGGATCCTTGGCTCTTCGTTCATTGCTTAACCGAGCATGTAACACTCTCTCTCTCTCTCTCTCTCTCTCTCTCTCTCTCTCTCTCTCTCTCTCTCTC